AAAAAAAAAATAGAAAAATAATAAGAACTTCTACCTCAGACAAATGTTATTTTTTCCCATATATACTTCATTTACAAGGTACATTTCAGGAATTTTTTTGTTTTCCAAAATTCTGTGAAGGGATGGTGACATTGACTGAAAAACTAAGATATTTAATATATATTGTAAAATACATGTGCAAATTTATATATTATCCTTGTAGTAAGGTTTTCATACTTAAAAATTATTTTATAGCAACATCTCAAATTAAGACATATGACTAGTTATTTTAAAATGTGAATAAGTTTGACAATGTTAATATTAGATCCTATTAATTGATAAAGTTAAATGTGAAACATATTCATTCCTACATAAGAATACACATGCAAATCATTCATTAAATAACCCCTAGGATGGACTTCCTACATTCAAATTTCTTATCTGAAGTTTTGTCCAACCAGATACTGTCAAGTAAATCATGCAATTGGGGGTGTCAATGCATCAAATGCATTAATAATAACATAAGAATCCATTTGTTGTATTTTCCCATTGAAAAAAAGACTATTTAGTGGAATTGAATAGATTTTGGAAGTTGTTCAAATTGTTCTGGTGGTTATTCTGCTGAAGAAGTAAACATTACTTTTTTTCAAATTATTTATCTTAGTATATATCTCTGAAATAATGACCACATACAAGAATTTCCCTAATATAGTGGTCCACAGAAAATCTCTACTTACTTATGATGGATTTTCAGTCTTTCTGACTTAAGTTGATTCTACAAATGGGTATGTAATGTAAAGCATGGATTCATGAGTTTATAAAACAGAATTATCAAAAATCTAATTCTTTAAAAATTTATTTATTTAAGTTCAAGTTAATTAACATACAGTGGAGTACTGGTTTCAGGAGTAGAAGCCAGTGATTCATCACTTACATATAACACCCAGTGCTCATCCTGACAAGTGCCCTTAAAAAATGAACAATAAAAAAAAAAAATCTAATTTTTAAAATGATTAGTTACATTGAGGTGCTAATGACCTGAAAATGTTTCCCAAAGGACTGAAAGAGCATTTTAATAATACATGCGCCTAGTCCTAGAATGTGAACACATTCACGTATGTGTGCATGACTAGAGAGGGAGAGAATGAATTAAAACTGGATTTGGCAATAGTGCCTCAACTATGTGTGCACGACATGCTATTAGATACTTAGCTTTATCTTCTAACTGAAATTACTCTAACACTAACCTCCATGTTAAAAATAGTCATAGCTAAGATATAAATGAGCATTTACTATTTGCCAGGCACATTTCTAAGCATGCTACATGTAGTTACTCATTTTTTCTTACAAGAATCCAATGTGGTAAGTACCCTTATTACCCTCATTTTACAAGTGTGGGAACTAAACCAGAAGTAAGTTAACTTGGAAAAAGTCATATGGCTACTCTGGGAAACAGCCAGGCTTCAAGGCCAAATTGACTTCAAAATGTGAGCTGGTAGCTTCTATATTACACTATTTACTAAGCTTACCCATTGTACTTTAAATTTAATATCTTCAAACAAATCAACTTATGCTGGGTTTACCACTTTTTAGTTCTATTATTCATAAAGTGCCTCAAATGACAAATGAATGAGATTCAACTAGTCTCAGGTTATCTGACTAAACAGCCAGAAAATACAACTCAAATACCTGTAAGGCTCAATACTATACTGCATGTTGGGTACAGCCTTTTGTATTGACAGCCCTTTTGAAATGAAAAAGTCCACTGGCATTTTATATCGCTGTCCAGTATTTTTTTTTATTTGAAGAGAGGAAACAATGGTAGGAAGAACGTTTTGACTCCTATTACATATGACAATAAGGAGGAGGAGCCATTCTGTCTAATAACTAATTTCTAAATATGAAATCCTTTGAGTTCTCCACCAAAACACAATTTGCATTAAATAGATGGCAACCTGACTTCAGGCAATACAGCCTTCTTCCTCAACAGTATGGCCAGTAAGGCTCATAAAGTGAAAGGCTTAAGATCAGAACACATCTTCTTCTAGTCTTGGCAAATGGGATGACTCAGGAGAAACAAAAAGCAGGGTAGTATACAGCTGCTTATAGCTGATTTGATAAATAATTCCTATGTGATGTTCATGACTGGCTAAGGAGCATATGGTTTCAGTGGAGTGATGTGTAGTGCATCACATCATTGACATCAAGAGGTATCAATTCTTACCTCTCAGGCAGATTTGTCTAACAGGCTACTATTTCCAAACCTGTTGTTTTGTGCCTGGTTGAATTAACTAAGTAAGATCTTACATATATTTTGTCATCAGAACACCTTAGCTTTTTATCTTTTAATCCAAAAAGAAATTTCACAAATGAATGGTTATATTATCTCATTTGATTTGTACAGAAAGTATAAAACCATATTTTTGTCCAGTCAACTAAACTATCACAAATTGGGATCAAATACCAAAATAATCTTTCTACATTTTGTACAATGAAATTTAGTTAATATTTAGTTTTTAACCACATTTATTTTCACAGCTTCCATGTACGTATATAGATAATAAAGTTTCAACTCAAATGTTAGTTAACTTAGTATTACTTGACTTTGGTAACCTATAGAGCTTGTGTCCTACATGAACAAGCCATTCCCTTGAATATGTTTTTTACTGATTTTTAAGACAATTTTTGCTAAGTAACCCTTATTATTATATGCACAAATACAAAAAGCTAGACCATTACGTTGATGGATTTATTTTTGTTTAAAGTTATGGATCCTGATTTCCTTTTTAATTTAAATTCAAGTTAGTTAACATACAGTGTAGTCTTGGCTTCAGGAGTAGAACCCAGCAAGGATGCTAATTTCTTTAAAGTTTTTTTTTGAAACTAAACATTGTCCCCAAATACTATAGAATTAGGAATCAAATATATATGGTATCTAAGGATGAAGAATGCCTAGCAATACATTAATTATCTGGTTAAATCCCTTCCACTGGGATCTACAAAGTTTTGGTCAGCATTTGAACACTATAATTACTCTAAAATAAATACAATTTTTGTGTGGTAAAATGAAATTATTTCAAATTCAGAGTTCATAAATTGTGTAGAAAAAATTCTTTGTGACTTGTTTTACCAGTATTGTGTTATATCAGAAACTTTAGGTTTTTCTCCAAAGAGAATAACTGACAGGCATAAGGAATGCCTGTAACATTTGTTAGAAAGTTCAGTAATTTAGAGATGTTTAATAACATCCACAGAAAGAATTTGAGAATGTATTACCCTTAAGAAATCTTTCTTTGAGTATTCATAACAAGCCATCTGCCTCTATGGAAACCTAATCTGAAAACAGAGGTGAGCTCACTTCCAACAAAGGAGTCTCCCTGGCTTTACAATGGAATTCATACTTTCTGAAATAATGAGACTGCAGCAACAACAGGAGCTATTTCAAACAGTCAATTACAATTTACTTAGCAACGTATCACTGAACAACAAAACAAAACTCCCCAAAACTTACCACCTCCGTTCTTCTGACATAGGTATGGGAATCTCCACACATTTCCTAAACCCACAGAAAATCCAACTTGGGCCAGGATGTATTGTAGTTTACTGTTCCAAGCTGGTCTTTCATCTTCAACTTCTGATTCCTCTTCAACATCTATATCTTTTTCCTCCTGAACATCAACAATTAGTTCACTCTTCTTAAAAGCATCATCAGCTGAGTCTTCATTGGAAAGAAGGTCTTTGACAGACTCAATAACTTCATCATCTAATTCTCTTTTTACCACCTTGCTATTCTTCGGCATTTGAAAACGTGGGTAGTATTATTTTTTAAAAATTCCCTTATGGTGAATTTGTCAATTTTTTTTGAAAAATGTTAATTGATATGAATAAAAGATGGAGGAGGGTATCAGTTAAATCCTTGATTCAAGGTGATAGAGTCTTAATGGATCCTGGATCTGAATGTCCAATATTCTACAGGTACCTGTAAAATTTTAAGTTGAAAAACAATAATATTTAATGAGAAAAAATATTTAAAGTACTGAAAACTCTTATTAGTTTCTATGATGAAAACTCTCTCTACCAAGTATAAGACATACGATTGTCCTTGGCCCTTCATAGTTTAATGTTGCCAGAAGTATAAAAATTGTAAAGTACACATGTGCTTCAGGCACATTTTATTTTAATGTTTATTTTATTTATTTTTTGAGACAGAAAGAGAGAGAAAGAGAGAGAGAGAGAAAGAGCGAGCACAAGCAGGGGAGGCACAGAGAGAAAGGGAGACACAGAACCTGAAGCAGGTTCCAGGCTCTGAGCTGTCAGTACAGAGCCTGATGTGGAGCTCAAACTCGCAAACCATGAGATCATGCCCTGAGCTGAAGTCGGATGTCTAAGCAACTGAGCCACCCAGGTATCTCTGGACACATTTTCTTTTAACTCACTTCTTCCTTCTTACATAAATCTACTTTGATTTCAGATATACTCCAATGCATAATGTATATGGGATTCATTAGTACTTAAAATTTTTTGACTTTTTTTTTTAATTCTTCCTTTTCTCCTGACTAAAGTACATCCTTTACTTTATTCCTCAAAGAATTACATACATAATTACATGTCATCCCTATAAATTTGTCTTATATAGAATCTCTTCTGTTCATGTATTCATCTGTTCACCCACTTGATATTAATTATAATAGGGCTACAATTAAGGGATACAAACATTCACAAATTACACAATATCTGCTTTAAAGGAGCTTATATTTGATAGAGCGAAAGGTACATTCCAAATAATTACACTACATTGCATAATTTATATGACCCAACATCATTACTATAGGAGAGATCAGAAACGTTGCATAAAAGCAGCATTATAGTTGGGCAGAAATGGAGTTGAGGACACACCAAACATAAGGAATAGGATAAAAAGATGCAGGAAGCGGTAAAAATTATTATTTGTGTAAACATTCTCTCCAATGACCCCAAAAACATACTACCACCACTTTGGCATTTTCCCTTTATTTCATTTTAGGTTATATCTCATTTCCTTTTCTCTGTTCAAATATAGACCAAGTAAGTCTATAGGGTATGTCTGAAGACCAATCAGATTGTCTATTTCAAAAATTGCTTAAACATATGAATGCTTCTTTTCAGAATTAGGTCAGAAGACTTAGAAATAATATCCCAAGAAGTCTGCCATTTGTTGCTACAAAAAACCAATTCTTTGATGGAACTGTATTAGATTTACATTCAAAGTCAGAGAAATAGCCCATCATACTTTAATTTATAATCTTCATGAACAAGACAGGGGGCTAGGTAACTCAATGAAAAAGAAAAAAAAAAAAAAGGAATTCATTAACTTGACCATGTAACTTTTCCTGGTTGCCTTTAGGTAAACAACTTTTACTGGAGGTGTTCAGTTGTTTCCCAATTAAAATATATACCCTAAGAGCAAAACTCATTTAGGATTTGGTGAAGATTAAGAGTTAGACTGTGAAGAAAGCTCTGAAAAACAGCATTCCCAAAATACTTTAAATAATAGATACATCTCTAGAATAAGTGAAAAACTTCTCATGGTAACTATCGTAAAGAGACCAACAAATTTTTGATGTGGAAATAGCTTTAAGAGGTTAGAGATTATGTTTGTTTAATTTGCTTTATTTTTCCCGAGAGTTCAGTAAATATTAGTTGAGTAAATGAATAAATACAGCCAGTGAAAAATTGAAATAAGCTAATTATCCAAATAATTTTTGCTGAAGAAACAATGTGAGGTATAGGAAATTGTGAGACAAGAATTATGTAAAGATCTACATTTGTTGAATTACCTAAAGATAAATTGTTGGCCCAGTGATTTAACTGACACATAGATAAGAGTATTGGCTTTAATCTGACAAACTGGGAGTTGTGTCCTAGTTCTTTTATTTCTTAGTTGTATAACTTCTTGTAGTTATCCCACTCAGCCTTAGTTTCCTCAATAAACTAAGGTTATCAGCTATTCTTTTCGCTTTTTCCACACAAATAAAAAGGTAAGGAATGTATCAAAGTTTAGAAATACTACTACAGTAAAAACAGCCACCATATCAGAAAGAAAAATTTAAGACAGTGTTACTCATGAACCTCTCCCAAATTAATTATCTCGGAAATTGTAGTATTTATTCTATGTATTTCCAAGTCTTTGTGGAAAAAAATACACAAACAAAATGAAATGAAAAATAACAATGTTGGACACTGCTGAATTTTTAAAAAATACTAAATGAATAATCATATCAACGTACAAACAATATCCTTTGGCAAAGTTTACATTTAAAAGTTTCTATCAGAGGAGCGCCTGGGTGGCTCAATTGGTTGAGCGTCCAGCTTAGGCTCAGATCATGAACTCACAGCTTGTGAGTTCGAGCCCAGAATCAGGCTCTGTGCTGACAACTCAGAGCCTGCAGCCTGCTTCGGATTCTGTGTCTCCCTCTCTTCCTGCCCCTTCCTCACTCGTGCTCTGTCTCTCTCTCAAAAATAAATAAACATTAAAAAAAAAAATGTTTTTAACGTTTCTATCAGAGTACCCAGAGTTCATATTTTCTACGAAAAACAATCGTCAAATATAAACAAAATTTAAATACAATGGTATATTATAAATGCCTAAAATATATCTAATATATGAAACCTATCTAACTATATATACAGATTATATAGTACATTAGTCCTAGGCAACATTTATAATATTAAACATACTAAAAAGGATGTTAAATAGGTTGTTTCACTTATTTAGAGCTCTCTTCACTAGGTCATAAGCTCTGCCTGGAGAATGGCTTTATCTTACTCATCTCACATTCTTAAGGTTTAAACTTGTCTGTGAAGTGAATGAACTCTAAGAAGTAGGACAGAATTATATTGTTATGATAACTACAAGTATTCTGCACTATTACACATTTGGTTGTTTTGGGGGGGGGGGGG